TGAGTTAATCAAAAATCTCAAAGAGGGCCCACAGCAATTTTTTTGTAATATTTCTATTCGTAAACTGAAAAATAATCATTCTGAAATGTAGTGGTGATACTAAAAGTTTTTCAGTTTTTGTTTAGGTGGTATGCGTTAGTCATGTAGTGATAGCATAAGTATCAAAACTATTATGAAGCAAAAAAGCAGGCTTATAAATAACAATGGGCCCCACCGGTGGCCAATTCCTTCTTATGCTCACAAATCAATATGTCAATACACATTTAAAAATTTTAAAGCCCGGTAAACACATGTCTGTGATGTTATCGTCAGGCAATGATTTGTGGATACTTCATTTTTTACCATGATATTTTATTTGATGTTTTAAAACTGCGATGTTTTTGAATGCCTTTATTTTTGACGATGTTTTATACTACAGTCAAAAGTCTTTAATCCGGACATCCATAATCCGGAATGATCTATAAGCCGGACCTCAAAGTTACAAACTTTCTGCACATGCGTAAATGCAAAATGCGTTTATGCATGCGCATAATACCTTTATGCATGCTCATATGCGTTTACGCATGCGCATAATACGTTTATGCATGCGCGTTTAATGTATAATAGATGGTATAAGCTAAGCTAAAATTATCTAATTATCTATTTCAGTTAATGTTGCAGATTGCGTTGTTCCTTAATCTTCTAATTCGATCCGACGTATTATTTTTTTGCAGACTGTTAGAGCAATTTTATAAAAGTAAGCTTGAACTTTACATTATGTCAAAAATAATTTTCGATTCTGGAGCTGCCAAAGGATTTACATAGCGAAAGCATGTCTGCGGGGGGGGATGGAACGTTGCAGCACGCAATGAACTGGAAGTTGATCTGTCAGCACTATCCTTATCTTCAGGTCAGATGTTTTTATTTTATTCGGCTTATAATTCCTTACTAAATGTAGTATTTCATCTCAATGTACTCCGTCTTTGATATGAATTAAATAAAATTTCTTGTCATTATAAATATCATGAATACACATCAAATAGTTTTCTGGTTGCAATTCTCTAATTTCGACTATGCGTAATGTATGCTTTACGCATGCGCACGTTGAAAGAAATGTTTAATAAAGTAAACAAATAAATATTAAGCTTTTTTTTGTAAATTTTGATACCCTTTAGATCAAAACTGCTCTTTATTTCATAAATTACGGTTTCATATTTTTAATTTTATAATTTCTGCATGCCATCTTACCAGATTTAAATTGATGATCTATAATCCAGAAAAACCGATAATCCGGAATCGCCAAAGTCCCGATGAGTCCGGATTAAAGACTTTTGACTGTATATCACTTTAGAACTGTGATGTTTTCTGCTCGCTTTCTTTCCCCTTTGATGTTTCGTATGATGACTTTCGCCTTAAGTTGTTTTCTCTGCAATGTTTTCGGCATATACTGGTATAGCTGCAGCAATTACACTAGCTCCAAACAGAAGTAATTGTATGTATTATTACTTTTTTATGAATTCTTAGGAAAAGCATTTGTTTTTGAGGGGGGAAAAAGTTGTCTTACTTTTAGAACTGCAAATATTTTAGTAGTTTCAAATTTTTGATGTACACCAAACCATCTGTAAGATGTCCACGAATGGTTCCAGGGTATTTTTTTCTTATCTGGAGGTGGTCATCTTGCAGAGGTGATATATAATACCAATGATTAAGCTCTCAGAACTTCTAATCATTTTCAGAGATTATCTCCATAGTAGTGTACAGAATGTACTTTCTTCACTAGCTAAAACTGGAGAATTTGAGAGAATGGTTTTTGAGTTAGATAACTTTTAATATAATTTTAAAATCTTTTGGGTACTTATTATCGCAGCCACCTTGGAGCGGTTTGGTGAACTTTATGAAAGAAAAAGAAAAATTACTTTTATCATAAAAAATATGTATTATGTGCATATTCTATGTATCATTTATATATTTATTCCAAAAGTTGCTCAGTAAATCTTGTTACAAACAGGTTTTTGCTTTTGTTGAAAAGTGCATAGCATTTGTTTTGAGAAAGAATTTGAAACATTGTTCTTTATCAATTTGGCTGCAAAATAATGTATTCCAGCTGAAATTTCATCTCTCCTTCTTCTGTTCTAAGAAAATCCTCCATGTGCAAATTTTAAAATTGAGTTTAAGACAAAAATATCATAATTTTTCTGTAAAAGCCATTAGAACTTGGAATAACAATAAAAAGAACACATATGAAAAATGGTGACTCTGGAAACTGAATACTTGTCCTGTGCATTGGTTGCGTGAATAATTGTTACACACATGCTTACCAGAGTTTGTGTGGTCTGAAGCTTTAGCGCTTTCTACTAAGATGTTTCTGATAGTACACAAGTACCTTCCCCCCCAGTTAACTGTCATGGGCAATGTAAATAAAATTGTTAAAGAAACTTATAGTTTAAAGATTTAATTTTGTCAAATAATCTGCTTTAGGCTTAGGCAAGTTTTGTTTTGAAGAATTATTTTAATTTGGGCAGCAGGTCTTTAATACATTTGTGTTTGGTAACTTTAGAAAATGAAGCAAAATTCCTCATCTTTATGAAGAGTTATCAATCTGATTAAATTATTATTTATTCCCCAAATTGGCCCCAGTAACGTCATTTTAATAAAGCTTATTTTGAATATGACAAAACGAACAAATTGAAGAACTTGGACTGAGTTCCAAGTATATATTTGTGTACATAATCTAAAACTTGAATTTTGTAAAAGTATATAATGCAACAAAATTTTCTAATCTATTTATCGGGGATACTCAGATAACCGGCACTTGGTGAACTTCCTGAAAGCGCGTTTGGCAACTTGGGCGATATGCGCCATACAGTGGGAGGACAGTTTAGGTTGCTAGTTTAGACCTTCAGTACACTAGGGAGAAAGGGAAAAGAGAAGGGATATTTTCCTTCTATATGTAAATACTTTGTTTTGGCTGTCATGTGACTTTGCAGATGAATCATCGTGCTGATCACGTAACTTGTCAGCAGACGTGGTGCATACACTCATATGCTGTTTGTTGTTCCGTATGATCATTCACTATTTAATTATTTTATTAGAACAAAATATTATTATTTATTAGACTATTAAAATCTATTAGACGTCTAAATACTATTAAGTCAAAAAAAAAAAAAAAAAAAAAAAAAAAAAAAAAAAAAAAAAAAAAAAAAAAAAAAAAAAAAAAAAACAAAAAAAAAAAAAAAAAAAAAAAAAAAAAAAAAAAAAAAAAAAGTCATAAAAAAAAAAAATATTTTTAAATACCGGAGATGGACTTCAAGTTGCCATAGAACCATTCGCTGTTTTCGCTATACTAAAAAAATTTAAAAAGATAAAATTACTATTAAAATTATTAATGATTTAAAATTAAATAATTAAGTATTACCAAATTAATTCATAATTATTTAAGTAATATTAATACTGAGCTCCCAGTTGCCATTTAATTATCTTATAAATTATTTTCTAAATATTTATATTCAAAATTTAGATCAAACATAATACATGTTTTTCACTTTACTCTGACATCAGAGTTGAAATTTTTTTCATGCTTTAAATTTTGTTTCGAATGTTTAAATTTTGCCCATGTAAAATTTGGCCAAACGGACTATTAATTTCGTTTTAGCATTTTGCTTCAATTCACGATAAGCCTTGTTTAACTTTTCAAATTGTTGCCACTAAATTTTATTGTCCTGTATTATACTTGTATTTAAAGAAATTAAATAATGAAGAATCTGCATGAATGTATGTATGTTTCTTGCATTGTGATAAATTAACGGTACCTAAAGCCATCAAATTTTGAATAATGTAATCGTGCACTGAATATGGCCATCTAAGCCCGAATTTGAAATTTGTTTTATTATAGATTTTATATTTTGTAACACTTCAACAAATTTTTGATTAATAAATTAAATGATTTCAAAGTGAGCAATGGCAACACTGTATGGGTGGGGGAAACATTTTTATCTCCAGCTTGCATGACTGTGTATCGGAAATTCTAAAGATATGCTCATTAAAAAATTATTTTGTGATATTGCTGTTGAACTTTTATGGTTTTAAGTGCGAAGAACATGATATTTAATAGATAAAGGTAACACAAAATGTTAAAAAAAGGCCCTTTTGGACGTAATTTAAAAATCTGAAACCTTTCAGATTTTTTTTTATGTTTTTATTTTACCAGATAAATTGATTTAAAAAATATATTTTTCCTGTATTATAAATTATGCCATCATGAGTGATTTGAATAATTTAAAATAGTAACTTGCTAGATTTAGGTAATGACTTAATGTCAGCAGTAAGTACATGCCTGTTTTGAAAATTCTGCCTGAATTCTGAAATGTTTAACTTTTAATTTGAATAAATGGATATGAATATGATTTACTGCAGAAAATGCTAACGAAAATATTCCTGTGAACTGCTCTTTCATTTGAAAAAAAATGGTGGGATTTGAACTTTGATATCCTTTATAATATTTTATGCAGCTTGAAAATACTTTTTGCATTTAGAAATGCAGTTTATTTCTAAATGCTACAGTCTAAAAAGTTTTAAGAGTACTTCTTGGTTAACTGGGTGCTGCTTTGCACCAAATATAAATGTTACTGTGTTTCTGCTAAAAAATTTGTGTTTACCTTTTTTTGCTTCATTATTTTGTACATGAGTGCAGAAAAGACCTGTTGTATGAAGTGGTTTTCGACATACAAGTATTTGCATATAAATTGACATTTGTGCTTCTGCATGAGGATGCTTAAGTTCTTCACATTTTCTCTTTTTTTTTCATTTAAAGCAGATTTGTCTTTTCCTCTTCATGCATTTGTTTTTGGTTTAAATATTTTCGAATGGCTTGATAAAGTTACAGTTCTCGTGATGCATTTAAAAATTAACTTCAACCTTGTTCTGAACCTGTGTTTTTTAATTTTAATTAGCAATATTTTAATTTATCATTTAATGATGTAATGCTTATTCTAAACAATTTCTTTCTTTTATGTCTCACTTAGGCGTTGAGCACTTTATTATGTCATCACCATCACATACAACAGAGTATTCATATTTAGGACCATTATCAACATCTACACTTTATGGGCATAATGAAGATTGGCAGTGGTCACCTGAAGATCAGTACAATCATTATACTTACCTCACTTCTAGCACCACAAGTCAGGAACCTTTGGACTATAGTATTGGTTCATCCATGTTCTTTTCGGGAGAGGAAAATGTAGATAGCTCATCGTATAAAGGAAAGTCTATGAATTCTGATGGTGGCTATCCTGTTGATAGTGAGAGACATGAAGAAAGACCTTCAGATGAACAAGTATTTGAAACTTTAGGCCAAACTGTGAAACAAGATCCTTACCAGTATGAAGATTATGATGAAATTCCTCCTCAACCAAAAAAAAGAGGGCGGAAAAAAAAGGAACCTAATGGCATCAGGTATATTATACATTTGCAGAGTTCTTTGAACATTTTTTTTAATCCTTCGAAATATCTCTTTTGACTATCTGTTATTAAAGAAAGGCAAGGCTAGATTAATGAATCCATATAAATTACATACATAAGGATTGAGATTTGTCTAATGCAGGGATGAGTAAAAGCCATTGCACAGGCCAAATGTGGCTCTTTTAATTGCTTGATAGCTCATTATGAAATCATGTGAAACAACATTATCATCTTTTTTTACATGATTTTATATGCCAACTATAAAAAATAGCACTACAAATATGCCTGTATTGTTATAGTATATCCGTGCATTATAGGCATGACTGCAATGTAGCCTAAGTCAAACTAAGCTGAGCATAAATATCAAATATGCTAGGAAGCATATGAATCTGCTAAATATAGTTCTGAAAAATATAGTTCTGTCATTTCTAGCAGCTTTGATTTAGAAGTTAAACAATTAAATATGAATATTGTTGAGATAAAAAGACTATCTGAAAAAAGGAACTTATGGAAAAAAAAAACTTAACCATAACCCTTTGCCTTGAAGAATGAAAAGCAGGCAGGGCTGTTGTGACCTCATGTTTACTATCTAGAGCTAATTTAAAGTAAAAATATGAAATTAAATATATAAAATGACATTTTTAATTGTAATTTAAGGAGAGACTTCTAGCGCGGAGGAGTGTTGCTCTTTCCTCATCATGTCCTGGAAAATAATAGAGGTATTGCAAAAGATCATTACATAAACTCTGTCCACATGATGTAGTAAAACAGACTTTTTTAGCCTCTGCTTAAAAGGATATGCCCATCCCTGTTCTAATGTAACAAAATTAGTCTTTTAATGCAAATACTAAAAAACTGAGTATGGTAACTAATTTGAAGTTTTTGTTTAAAGTTGTCTTAAATTCTTTATGTAACTTTGCTGTGTATTGTGTTATATTTTCAGATATTGCACAAAATATTGTCCATATTTGCACATTTTGCTTGAAAGTATTTGTTCTGAAGATTTTCCCACGTAATAGAAACTTATTCAAAAACTTGTTATAAGTCCTGCAAAGTAATTTCTTTTCTTTCTTCTTTCTTACTGTGTGTGAATGTAGAAAATAATGTCAAGTTTCACTGTCAGTTTTGAAAGTCGAAGAAAGGTCAGACTCCTAAGGTTTCAATTGCAGGAAATGCAAATAATTATTAGTTGACTTTGGCAGTATGCTGTCTAACATTGTCATGAACAAAGTTTCTATCCAAAATAATGAACAAGCCTTTTTTCTTTAAGTATGTTCCTATAAATTGTGGTGAAATAATGAATTACATCATACAATGATGATCATGTTTTGCATGTTCATGATTTCATACTATTAAATTTCCCCTTGGAAATCTGAGAAAAGAATCACCTTCTTTTGGGAAGCTTTTGGGATATATTCTGTTCTTTTGGCTGCAGGAAAAGAGGAGGGATTCCAAATATTGCTGTTCTGTTTTTGCTATATGTTGTAATGATGCAGTTACTTTTTTTTGCCACTGTTGGCCATAGTCAGAAGCAAAATTTCAGAATAATGAAGTATTCTAAAAATGATAACCTATTTAGACTAAACAACAATGGATTTCTAACTTCGTTAGATGATGTTGATGGTTACAATAGAGTGAAAGGATCTAGCAGTGTTTGAAAACAGTGTTGATTTTATCCATTCTATTAAGTTAATAAATTTCAATATGAAATCCTTTTATTGCTCGTAGAACATCCAAGCTGTACTCAGTTTCATCCGTGTATTGTCAAATATCTGAGGGGTTATATAACAAATTGCAGCATTATATGTAGCAAATTAGTACTACAAGGCATCTGATAAGCACAGCCTTTAACATGAATGCCGAAGGAAAAAATCCAATTGAATCTTATCTGGAGAGTGGAGGCTAAAGAATGGGACAACCATAAACATTCATATGTTGGGAAAATGCTGATTTAGGTAGTTATATACATCCATTTACAAATGTGGAGGTCCATCATTAAAGTGAATCTGCTACTTAATTGAGTTCATTTATAGAGGATTAGAATCGTATTTAATGTGGTACCATCTTGTAACTTTTAGACTTAATTCCACAAGCCAGAGCATTCACACGCCTTTTGCTGCACATATGCCATGACTTTTGATTGCAGTTGCCTTGTGCAACTCATCTCTCCATATCTAGTTTTATGTAATGATTTCAAGGCAAAACAGAACTTTATAACAATGTATTGATAGTATTTGAGACAGAAAAACAACCTGTGTCGATATTTTTTAAAAATAATTTTGAAATGTGTCCAATAAATTTTAGACACTGTATTTTTGACAGCAGCAGTTCGATGAAACAGATTTTTTATGCAAATTTTTAGTTAATCTTTCACAATTATATTCAAGTCACATCACATTGTTATTCTCCATAGCTGTCTCTGCCATTTATATGAACTTAGCTAAATAAGAAGAAAATTGACCCTTCCCGAAATAATTCCAAGTTCTTATTCTAACACATTATTGGTAATTTTATTAATGGCATATTTCCATTGACATCTTTTATCATGTACAGTTTCGTTGTGTGAGAGTTGGAACATTGACAGTTTTTGACCAAATTCTATATGTCTGAAAATAATGATTGCTTGTTCTGCATTTCTTGTTAAATGTAGTGATACAAAATACAGTAAAATTTCATAAGATGAACCAGTGTTTTCTCAAAAGTGTTCCTTGAAAAAGGATTGTTATAAAAAAAGGGCTCAGTGCAGGTATTTGCCTGCTGCGATTATTCTGAATTTGTAATGGGGTAAAAGCCTCCTTATCCCCCCCAAAAAAATGTTGCCAAGAAAAGAGAAGAAAAATGAAAAATATCTTTCTGGAGGAATATAAGACAACTTTTAAGGTTGCTACAGAGCTTAGAAGAAAGTATATTCAGGTGGTATTATTGCCTACTATTTTGGCTGATGTCCATGCATTTGTTTTTAAATAATTTTAAAAAACTTCAGATGAGGAATTTTTGATACAAATATCTTAGAAAATTATTAATAAAATCCAGAATTTTTGTAATAAAAAATGTACATACATTATCTTTATATCTCTCATTTATTCAGAAATGATACAAAAAACAAAGATACATGTATACTTTTCATGTGAATACTTGCATTTCTTGTGTGAAAGTATTTTAGCGCTACTCAACTGGTATAGTGGTTAGTATAGCTGACTGCTTTGATAAAAGACCTAGCTTCGAATCCAAGAGAAGTTGGTAAATGTATGGTGTTGATGTGGCATGGCGGTACTCTAAATATGTGGCGAGCCGAAAATCCTCTTGTGTGGTTTGGTAGAAGGGGAGAGGGGTAGGACACCATCAGACCTGTACCCCCCCCATGTCCTCTCCATCAAAATTATGGTGGAACTGAGCTAAATTGCACTGTCACCTGTATAGTGCTTAAGGCTGTTGCCAATGGCAGACGTATTTTGTGCTCCTTGCCATGAGGAATTTCATGGGCCTGGACTGATGTTACAGTCAGACAAGTGAGCATAAGTAATAACAACAGCAAGTACAGCTGATAACAAATAACTCTTGTGCATTTTGCTTTAACTAGTTAATTTATTTTTTATATGCTTTTTGTATGAGACAGTATTTTAAATTTTACACGGTTTAGTAGTCAAGTATTTTTTTAATCATGTTTGCTTTCTGGAATCAAATGTTCTTAATTTTTTATATTTAAACTCTTTTATAACCTAATACGTTTTTGCAGATGGCTATTAAATCAGAACTTTAAAATGGATTTACAATTCCTGCGAATATCTGTAGCTTTATGACTAAGTTCAGTACATATTAAATGTAAGTTACAACACTTAAGTACTCATTATGATGGTTTTCTACGTCAGAATGCATCATTCGTATTCAAAATTTCAAAACAATAAAGGTTCAAAATTAGCAGAGGTGGTATACACATTTAATTAATGAGACTTTGAAGAATATTTGCATTTATGAGTAAGGAAAAAAAAGTTACTGTTTAGAAAAGCAATTTATATGGTTTTTTTTGGGGGGGGGGAAGGGAAATATTCAGGACACTTCTTTTGTTGTGAAAGGAAACGAAATTCAGTAATTTTTGCTACAATAGTCTGTTCTTTGAACTCCTCCCAGGTCCATTTCTGTTGAAACCAAATGATGATTAAAAATCTTCAGTTTTAAATGCTTAAATTTTAATTTAAAAACTTATTAACTTAAAAATTTATTTATTTTTCTGGATAAGCGCAGGACTTACCAAGCAGCATGCATACTCAAAGGTCAAATCTTGATCTTTTATTATGGAATTTCTTTGTGGAAGTTTATTAATGAAACATCAGTTTGCATGATATGTGGTATATATATATATATAGAGAGAGAGAGAGAGAGAAAGATAGTGTGAAAGAGAGTCGAGTGAAGGTTAAATTATCTAAAAAATAACTAACATATAAATCAAGAATGATTTAGGCTATTTATTTTATGGAATAAGTAAAGAATTAATGTACATTTTTGTTTTAAGTATAGCAGAATTTGTGCATAACAAATAATTTACATTTAAAAATATATTTCAGTATATTAAGAGAAAGCATTATATCTACAGATGCAAACATTTAACATTCTTTTTACAATTTTAATGTGCTGACTTGGATGCACATAAAAACACATTATGTAGAGCAGGATTACTTAAATATTCTTTTGCTTGCAACTCCTTTTATGAAATGAATTTGGTAACTTATTTTGAATAAGGGTATAATTTCAAAAATTTTAAGTGAGTAAGATTTGTAAGAACCATTGAAAATGCTGCAGTGAAATGAGGATGAGGTGCAAGATTAAAATATCTAAGAACTGATAATCTTTAGTTTTGTAACTGCATAGAGTTAACCTAATTTTAAAAGGTGCAGGTGAAATTCATATATTTGTGCATGTTAAAAATAAAACATGAACTTACTGGAACAGAAAGCTATCGTTCTCTAGTGAAGTATGTAAGCTGTTCCATCAGAAACATCTTTTCTGAACTATACTAATGATATTTAATGCTAGTATATAATTTATAATGTATTTATTTACCTTATAATTTTTATGAACACATGTACTAATGTAGTAAATGTTTATTGAAATTATGAGTTAGATATCTCATAAATTATATCATTAAGTATATTAATTAGAAAATGAATTAAAGACAATGTTTAAGAAGTTTTGGTACTTTTCCATTTTGCCAGCGCAGGCAATAGTCACCAATAATGGTACAACTGGTCCCAAACGGAATATCCTCGCTGGTAACTTTTTGGCCTCATTTTCAAAACAAGTAGCAGCTGTATCTTATCAGATTGATTGTTTCTTTCAATACTGGCATATAATGACATAGAATTTTTACCAGATAGTTCAATTTTATGCCCTATGGCCATTTGCGGTAATTAATTCAATTAGAATGCAACCACACTGCTCATCCGAAGACAAAAATATAGAAAAGGCAAAGTCAAGGGTTAAATTCATCAATTCTAATGAGAATGCACTAGCGAAGTAAAGCACTGCGGTTTTACATAATACCTGAGTAAGCCATTCGTACGTTGAAATAATTCTCGCATTTAAACTTATCATTAAATTAAGATTTAACTTGAAATTAATGTAGCTAATTACTGAGAGAATAAGATTTTTGTAGTGTAGTTTACGTGAGATGAGATCACTTGGGGTCATGTTATATGAACCAGCGAATCAGGATGTTGAACCATGAAAATGTAGTAAGTTCGAAAATAAATATCTTTTTACAAATTTATTGTCTTTATTTATTGGCTTTTTACAAAATTTTAAACGATATTAAAATGTTGATGCCTTCAAAATAAAAAATTCTTAAAACTAACATTTGTTAACATTTTTTATGTGTATACTGTATGTGGTCGCCAATAATGTCTGCTTGGCAAGATTTGCGCCGGCAAAACGAAAAAGTACCGAAGTTTAATTTCATTTGGAAATTGTTATTTTGCCACTATGTGATGTAGTGTTATAATTCGGAAGTGTGAAAATAGTGCCTAAGCTAGGGAACAATCTTATGCATGAAGATTTTCTAGGTTGTGTGTCTAATGTTGTGGTAGCATAGCATTGTGAACATAACATGACACGAATAAGACCAAAAATAAACTGTAACATCATTTCTAATGTCAAAAGTTATGAAACACCTGTTAAAAGTAAATGGCTTAACGGAATATTTTTGTTTATTTATTATTTTTTTTATTAATGAATTGAAACATTTTACTGTATGCAAAGTAGTTAGTTAATTTGCCATAAAAAAGCGAAATTTTAAATCTCTTCATGAGCAGACCTTTAAGCGAATCCACATTGTGCAGCAGTTTCTACTTGAAGAACTTGATAGAGTTTTGAAATTTTTTGTGCTCATGGGAAAAAATTTTATCGTTATTAAATTTCTTGGTATAAATTTTTATTATTATCCAGTCCAATATTGACAATTTAGTATTCAATTACTTTAATATGCTTTGGAAGTTTACATTTGTGTTAAAAAATAAATTTCAGAAAATGTTCTTTGCTGGCACATTTGGATTAAAAATGCTACAAAAAGAGGATAAATTAAAATTCTCTATTCATTAGAAAGAAGTTTCTTTCCCTCTCTTTTCTTTTTTAGCCCAGAAAGCTATTAATTTCATTTTGGCATTTTGTGTTGAAAACTTGAAATGTCCGTTTCACTTTTCAAATTGTTGCCACTAAATATTATCTATTGCCCTGCATTATATTTAAAGAGATTGAATAGTGTAAGGAGGAAATTTAAAGAAATTAAATAATATCTTCATATATGTATGTGTGTTTCTCACATTGTAATAAAACAATGGTACCTAGAGCCATCAAATTTTGAATAATGTAATCCTCCACCAGATATGGGCATCTGGAAGCCCTAATTTGTAATTTGTTTTATTATCGATTTTATATTTTGTAACACTTTAACAAATTTTTTATTAACAAACTTACCGATTTTAAAGTGAGCAGTGGCAACACTGTATAGGGGAAAAACATTTTTATCTCTAGTGCGCGAGACTGTGTACCGGAAATTTTAAATATAAACTTATTTTAAAATTATTTTGTGATATTGCTGTTGAATTGAATTTTGTGGTTTAAGTGCAAAGAACATGATAATTAATAAATAAAGGTAACACACAAAACATTAAAAAAATGTCCCTTTGGGCATAATGTAAAATCTGAAAGCTTTCATATTTTTTAACCTCTTATGAACGTTTTCAATTAGGCTGTTTCCATTCCAGGCTGTTTTTAAGAATCTGTCTTTCTTACAGCTGTAAGTAAATAAATTCTTTATGTGTACTGCTCATATGAACTCAAAAGACAGTGGAATATACATCCGATAGTGGTTCATATAAAGAGAAACATTTACAGACACATGATTCTTGTTTGCTATAAAAAGAAAGATCTGATGCACAGATAAAATAGACTAGATAATTTCAACAATAAATAAATTCACTTCAGTCAAAATATGTTATAGTGTATTTTTGTTAAAATTATAATGTGTGTATTTGTATGAGAAAATACCATTAAATTTATCATGCTGAATTTTCTAAAAGTTGGTGTTTTATTTGTTTGCATCCAAAAATGAGTGTTGATTGCTGGCATTTGCAGTTACGGATTTTCAGGTTTCTGTTACATTGATATTTGTGACTAAAAAACTAGTAGCTTGTATTACAATGGGTAATTGATAAAAAAATTGTTTAAATTTTGTTTAATGTTTTTTAAAATGTGTGTTTCACAAAACCTTTGGATTTAAAATGTGTGTTTTTAGCATTAGTGTTCGCCTCTATTTTACTTTGATTTTTTACTACTGAATTGTTCGAAGTTAATAAAACATCTTATATTTATCTGAATATTGTATTATGATCTAGCAGTTATGAATATATCCATACTCCTGATGGCGTTAAGTGTATAAAGCAAGAAAGGATTACAGAAACATTTAAGCAAAGAAAAAGAATGGATCGATTTGATGGAATGCCTGAGGAAGAAGTAATGAAAAAATCTCTTCCTGATCATTTAAGTCATGGCTTAGACATTGTAATTGTAAGTAATGATTGTTAATATTCGAATTCCTAATCATGCGACATTTTATGATTTAACATTGATAAAAACTTCCAAACCAGTCTGTTTGCTTTTAGATTTCTTAAAAATACTCCTATCTCATTTATCAACTTTCCAGGAATAAGAAAATGTTTGGTAAATGTGTGCCCATTTTGATGTAAAAAGATGTTTTTACAGAACTAAATTGCAAGCAGAATAATATTATTATGACTTCAGTATCTGCAGTATTTTTTCTTTAGTTTTTCATAAAAAACATTAAATCAATACTTTTGCTAACTTGCAACACTTTGCCACAAATTTCATTACTATAAAAAGTTGCCTTTTACCATAACACAATTAGGTTTTAAACTATTGGCCATCTGCTCTTCAAGAAATGCACTCATTTATGAATTTTGCTAGCACAGATTTTTTTTAATGAGAAAAATGAACATGAATAATGCAAGCTTGAAATTAAACCTGACATCACTAGGAAAACTGCAAGTGGCGTAACTGTCGAGTAGTATATTCTGTAAACATATCTAGCTAGAAAAGGGGAATTCTCACCATAGCAAGAGTATGTTACTAGACCTGTAGAACTTAATTCCTCATAGAGTAAAGGCTGAGAATAAATGATGCAGAAAAACCAACCCATACTGTCACATTTCATGAATGCAAAGGAACCTCTAAGATGGGGTATGGATTTTCTGATTCCCAAATTTGGCATTTGTGAGTATTCACTGTGCCATCCAAATGAAAATGCTCTTTCTCTGTCCAGAGGCTGCCATTCTGAATCAACCTCAAAGTGAGGAAAAAACTGAAAAGAGAACTGGAGTGAAGTGTCAAAATCACGGAGAAGCAACTGCTGCATCAGTGAAAGTTTGTAAGGATAATATCAGAGACTATTCTGCAAGATCTTAAGAACACTGAACATGGCTATGCAACACCTCTGCTACATCCCGAACTCTGTTGCTAGCCTGAAAGTTTGAAGCTATGTTCTCTGCTACATGAAGTGCAACCTCCTGTATTGCTTCTGCAAAAACAAATTTTTTTCCTCTTCCAGGTTGAACAGAAAATTATCCTCTTTCTTCAGATTTCGCTATCGATTTCTCCCCTTCAAAGTTGAAAATTTTCGTAGAGCAGCTACTGCAGAATCACTGTGTTGGTAAAACAATTTTACTAACGAAACACGATATCATAAATGTATTGTCACTGAGCAGCAAGCACATGGAAAACAAAATTTCTGTGGGTTTTATAAGAGCTGCTGAATGACATCGACAAACATTTACACTTTTACTATAGGTTTTCAAAGTAAACCCCCCCCTCTGGTGATGCGGTTTGTAATTATTTCTTTAAATCCTAAAGATATTCTCATGTGTTCGTTAAGTCTGCCACAAAATTTAACAATTTTCTGATGACTGGTTTTGCCTGTAAGCAGCTTTGAAATAGGGTTCTTTAATTTTGGTCACCCTGTATGTTGTTGCGTGCGTATGGTTTTGTAATAGATTGAATGCACAAGTCTGATGGAAAGTTAATAAAATGTATTCCTATTACAAGAAATAAAACAAAATGCTGAAATTTTCCCTCACAGATATTCGTACAATATCACACAGTAGTTATATTTTAAACTACCAAAACATTAAATAGTACACAATTCAAAGTGCAGAGAAAGCTAATCATATAACACTGCGAATTCACTTCAATAAACAACAGTTATCTAAATAACTGAACTGAGATTTTTTTCTCTGGCTTTTATAAGCTTTTTTATTCATGCACGAGAACATTCTGGTATTTTCTTGAGGTTTCTGGAAAGCAAAAGGTAAAGTTACAAGATATCTATTTATTAAATGTGCATGCTCTTGTATTTTTACTTTTCCGGCGTAGCTTTCTCTTAAAACTCATCATGGTTTGCATTGCACGGGGGAATAAAACAATTTTAATTGTAATTATATTAAAAATAGCAAATTAAATACAAAATTCATAACAATATTACAGATATAATTAATTTTGCGCTCTAATATTTTACCTGCTTTACTGTTGCAAAATAGATTGTGTTATCAAACTATAGCTGTTTTTTCTGCATGATAAGGATGACAGATTTTTATTTTCTAGGGTGGAAAATTCACTGGCTGTGTCCAGACATTTGATGTAAGCATTAACATAAAGTGTTAGGCATTTCAGTTGAACAAACAAGTTTGGAGAGGACAAGTTATGTCAAGTTATATTGAGTGCTAATGAGCGTGGGAATATTTATTTCCCCTATCAGGTGTTGAATAATATGTTTGTGCATTACAAGAAAGAATGATTCTGCTAGTAATTAAAATCTTCTTTTTTAGAATTCCATGTATTTAAAAATGTTCTATATGCTGATCCATTTAGCAGTGTAAAATTTAAACTATGACGTTAATAATTGTAAGAAAATTAAGCCAAGTGAAGTAATTACATCAGCCTTTTGAAGTATGAAAACAAAAGATGGATTGGCATGTTAAGACAAAAGAGAGCTTCAGCTGAAGGCTGTAAATAAATATTGCAGTTTGGACATGTGACCATGGAAGGAATGTTTACAAAAATAGCAGAACATGTGGTAGAAAATAAGTATATGACAGTTTCTCAGATTGTGACTAAAATGGGAATTCGTGTTGGGTTGGTGGAAAAAATCTTTTGTAAAGTTGGTTATGTCAAAGGTTATGCCAGAGGGGTACTCCAAATGGTAACATGAGAGGTGAAGTCACTGATTGTTAAAGACTGCTGTCCATGATAAATATCAATGAACATAATTTTTATTTGTGTCTAGTAATAGTGGATGAGTGGTGTTGCTCAGATCACTGCTGTTGCTCAGAAAGGTAATGAGAGCATTGTGTGGAACTGTCTCCTTACATGCAGAATGCTCAAATCTGCCATGAAAATTTTGGTCATTATTTTTGAGAATGAAGGAGGACCTGTGGTAGTTAATTGACTGAAGAAGGACTTCTGATTCATTATTTACCACAAAACACCATGATAATAGCTGTTTGTTTCTTCAGCTTTTTAATAAAGCTATTATTGGCCATAAAGGAGAAATGTTATGTCTTACTCAGTAGTCTTGCTTTTCCATGTCAGTGCTGAGTGTTACTTAGCAATGTGGATTTAATCTTCTCTTACATCCATTTTGTTATAAAAATTGTAGTTGCACTTTCATGGTTCACATTACAGCAACATTAAAGATGTCACTAGGACTGACAAAATACTTTTTTGGCTGAATTGAGTGCCTAATTGATCAAAATGCTAGTTGCATTGACGTCACCCAAAACTACATAGATAGTTAAGACAGTTTGGACACTTTTATCATGCAAATTACATTATGCTTAAAACTTTTTGAGCCTCAGGTAAATTGAATTACGCATTTCGAGTCTGTTTTATTTAAGAGTCAACTGTATTTCTTTAAAGAATTTTTAATGAATTAAAAATTGCCAGGCTATGGCTGGAAACCTCTGAACATTTCTATGTTAAGTACAGGGTTTGATTCCTGGTGGCTGTGTGGGAATTTTCAGCTTTTCTATATAAAGTGCAGTTTGTTGTTAAAATGTCCTAATATGAGTACACTTTTCTTCAAATAAAATCCTTCACAAAGGAGTTCTTTCTGAGGTAGATTCATAATATAATGTCAACCAAATCAACTTCTACTTATAAGGCACAAAAGCTATGTCAGTTCAATCAAATCCTTCAAAAAGGTACCGATTCCAAAGTAGTTACCCTTTCTGTATTGTTAGTTACCTTCTTGAAGTTCCTTATTGATAGCTATGCTGTGTTAAAATGTTTGTGCATGTTATGTTAATTTTGTAATTTAAAATTAATATGCTGTCCTTTTAAAACTATATTATTAACAGAAATTATGGTTTATATTTTAATTCATTCCATCTTAACATTTTTTGTGTAGATTGGTATAAATCCTGGCTTAATGGCAGCTTATAAAGGACATCATTATGCTGGACCTGGAAACCACTTTTGTAAGATTTATTTATTTGTCTCTTTTTAATGCCATTCACTTATGTTTTAATATCAACACATTACATTTATATTAGTCTTTGTTTATCAGAGTAACTCTATAATATGAAATCTCATAGCTGATTTCCATAAATGTAGTATTTATCTTGCTGTGCATATGAGAACCATTCACTACTGCTCCTGTCTTTTTGTCTAATTTTTTCATCTACAAATAACATAGGTAACAAATTGCAGAACGTACGAACAATTATTTTTAAATAGGTACCTTTATGTCATATGCCAGGTATTTCAATTTTAATATTTTTAGTTTTTGTTTATCATAATTCCAATATCAAACATGCTTTAAGTATCTTTAATCTTTCTAAATGTAGGTTTTTGTTAAAGAATAAAAGCAGCTTACATTGATAGCTATGAGTTTTGTATTGAGTTTGAATATTCCAGTATTTCTGCATAATTTCCAAGCTGTTGCTCCAAAATGTTAATTTAAGCATTTAAAAGATATAGAACAATATTATGTTATCAATAATAGTACTTATTTATTTATTATTTTAAGAATATTTAAAACTCCTTCTGTATCACATAGTAATACAGGCATGCATAGGTATGTTAAAAAAATACAGCACAAAATAAAACTAAGTTATAAATTCACAGAAGAAATGTAAGAAATAACTACCCAGAAAGAAGACAATGCTATTGTATCTTGAACAAACACATGGAGAGGGAGAGGAAGTTTAATGTTTATAGAGTTTAACTGAGAAATGACTTTTCTTCCTTCCGTAAGTTTTGAACAGTAGAACAACAACTATTTGACATTTTACTCTCCTTCGAAGCTACAGAAACATAGGTCTATATTAGATGGACTTTATCTCTTCATATATGAGTTGAAATTGTTATGGCCAGTTAGAAATTTAATAATTTCAAAATTTCCCCCAAAAAATGTTTATAATTTAGTCTGTGAGGAATAGAAGGAAAAAATAATCTAGTCAGGAGTAGAAGAAGTTTTGTTAGTAGAAGAATTTGTATAATTCATTCCTATTGAGAATTGTTTCATTCCAGCTTTGTTTCTTGAAGAATATCTTTTTTAGTGTGTTAACTTGAAGGTTTGTAGCTCGTTTTGCCAAACAGTCAGCTATTTCATTTCCTAAATTGCCATTGTGGCCACATGCATGAGAAAAAATGACATCAATGCATTTATTATTATCATTAAGAATCACATGAGAAGTGGCAATTAATTTATTGCAGAAGATATTCATAAGAGAATATAAGGATGAAAGAAAGTCAGTGAAAATAAGAAAGACAAACACTTAACAAACAATGATTAGGTACTTGGATCGTACAGAAATGATTGACACAACGGCTCTCACAAAGAAACTGTTACACTGTGCAACAGAGAAAACAAGTGAAATAGACACAAGGGGGCGTGAGTTACTCGGAATGCATAGATGGTGCTGGCTGCAAGCGAGCGGTGTAAGTCAGTGCCTGTCCCTTTCAACATTGTCATTAAGAGCCTGAACAGCAATGATGGAAGGTGACTATCACGGTCAACTTTGGACAGCATGGTTCATGTATGGATGGAAGTGATACAGGGTAGTGAGCTCCATTGTCAAGAACAAAGCACCCTCAAGGTAGGCGATTGGGCATAGTGATATGGAGATGACAATTGTGTGTGCAAAGTGGGTGGAGCTCGGACCTCAAACTGAGATCTCGGACAATGCCTTGCTCGATAAGATGAAGGGTGCAGTCAGGAGCCAACATGTTGAATCTTCTGCCAAATATCATGGAGTTGTCCATAGGTGGTGCACCAACACCCCTCACAGACTGGTTTACCAAAGCCCTTTGGAACCTTCCAGCCAGATGGCAGAAGTGTATTGACATGGGCAGGGATTATTTCTAACTGATGTATTATCAGTTTTTTGTTAATAAATTGTATTCTGCTTTGTGGCAGCATTTATGTCATTTATTTCTGTATGACCTTAATATCCACTTAATTGACATTAATTGACAGTAATTCAGTTTAGAAAATACTGCATTCATTGGGAATTCTAAAGCATTTGTATTCCAGTTTAGATCTATGATGAAAAATGGCATTAGTAGCCCAACTTGATTTTAAATTTTACTGCCATCTGTGTAACATGCAACTGGGAAATTAATTTCAATGGAATTTTCATAAATTATAGTTTGAATTTGCAAATGATCAGCAGGGTGAGGAAGATCTTCAGACACCTTGATATTGAAAAAAAATTTACTGATGGCATCTTTAAACTCTTTGCCATGTAAAACATGAAGATAATCAGGGAGAACCTTGAAATTGCAAAAAAGGTTTCATAGCTAATTCTTCGATGGCAATGCACAACTCTTAGTAAAATTGTTCTTTGAATTCTGCAAAGAATATGGGGATTAATGTCCTTTTCTAAACTGTTCCCTCCACATTCTAGACGCATAGCAAACAAAAGGGACTGTACACTGTTTATGAATCATATTATCATTAGATTTTAAACCAAAGTATCTGGAGACAATTATTTTCCCATTTTATTTTAGAAATAAATAAATATTTTCCCAGCAAAACTTATAATTAAGAATAAGGCCTAAATATTTAATTTCACTCACTGTTTCAAGTAGTTATCAGAATACAATTTTTAATTTATATAACTGACATACTTTCTTTTAATTATCATCATTTTAGATTTAATAGGATTGAACTCTAACGTCTGTCTAGACCAGAGGTCGGCAACCTGCGGCTCGCGAGCCACATGCGACTCTTTGGATGTGAAGCTGCAGCTCTTTAATTCCATACTCAAATATTATTTATTTTATATATATATATATATATTAATATATATATACCTCAAATTTAAAAGTACACTGAATTGGTCGCAACTTACATCAGATATTAATAAATTAAAACAGCTTTTTACTATTACAAAAATAGATAAAGCAACTAATAACTTTAGCATTATATGAAAACAATTCTACACTGAGATTATTCATAAAGAACTTCTCAACGCAACTACTTATCAATTAGCCAACCTTACAGAAACATCTATAATAAACAGGATTAAAACATTTCATAAGAAACTCAATATTACTTTCAATGCAAACTACAACAGATTTACTAATCTTTATGCGATTCCCAAATTCCATAAAACACCATTAAAATTTAGATTTATAGCTAATGGAACTAATAATTACAAGAAAAATATAGATATATTTTTTCAATTCAACTTAATAAAATCTGTAAATTTATTTTCAATGATTGTAACACTAATCATAACTATTCTGGATCATTCATAATAACACTCCTGTCATTAATACCATTCATACCATTAACATCCAAAACATTAACTGCTATGATTTTGAAAAACTTATATACCTCACTTCCTCTAGAAGAAATCTATACCAGTCTACTTGATCTACCAAATCTTTTCCCTAATATACTCAATATCATGACTCTTGACAAATGGAAAACCTACCTAAAATGCACACTTTTTCATAACTACATCAAGTTTCAAAATCAAACTTTTTAAACAAGTCAGAGGATTGCCAATGGGCTTACATTCCAGCACCTCGATCTGTAATATCTTTTTATTTGTCAAAGAATTTTAACTTCCAAAAAAATCTACAACCACAAGAGTTAAATTACTACAAACACACCCTACAGATATATTGATGACCTTATTACAATTAATAATTTTGGTAAAATTGAAAACTCCGACATTTATCCGAATTGTCTTAAACTTAATAAAACTAATAATTCACAAAATAGCATAGACTTTCTAGATCTTCAAATCATTAACTACAAAAAAATTTTACTTTTTGACAAAACAAGAAACTTCAATTTCAATACTAACAAATTAATAAATTGGAACTCCAACATATCCAAAAAAGTAATTAACAATACTATAATTAATCAAATACAACGAATTAAAACTATATGCACAGATACAATAGATTTACAACGGGAAATTTTGATCCTTATCAAAATTCTCAAAAATAATCTAATTCCCTTTCAATTTATCAACCATTAAGGCAGGCGTTAAATACTCACTCTAAATCATTTAACTGATAGGGATATGATAATTTATTCCTAAACCTGAGAAGGCGGTATAAGTTGGATGACTGTCAGTTGAAAGATTTGTATATAGTGTAATTACTCAATTGTATATATTGTAAAAAGCTAATTGTCTTCAGACATATACTGTTACTAAAAAAATGGCCTATTTCCTTCCTTTCCTGCCTTTAGACTGTCTATTAGCTCTTGGACAGCGAAAATGCCTTTTTCCTTTCTTAAATTCTTAATCATTGCGACACGACAATTAGCCAGAAATTAATTAATTTCCATTCACTAGTATTTTCAAAAAAAAATCTTCACAGACGGTCTCTCTCAGATAAGAACTCCACTAAATACATCCCTCAAGAATTCCAAGTCCCCTCCACTACCATAAATTACTTCACCCAAGTCTTACCGACTGATATCATTCAAAGCCCCTACTGCCGCTAAGAATTTTCGGACACCCTACACTTCTGAGTCAGACACGAAGAGAACACTTTGCCAACTCCCCCGCTAGAAAGAATGTAAGTTACTTAATACCTTTCTGGCCTTTATATCTTCATGTACATTCACTGATCTTATTTATATTATTTTCTATTTTATTTTATTTTTATATTTTCTTTGATTTGTTTTTACAAAGTTTGCATTATTTATCTTTTTTATAATCTTCTATGTTTATTTCAACTTTACTTTGAATTCGATTTCATAATGACAATTTCCAATGTTTAATTTCTACAAATAATATAGTACTCAAATGCATAAAGATGAAAGTGTTGGGGACGGTTACTCGAGTTTTACAGGATTTATCTACAGTAATTGATTTTTACTCCAAATTGAATTGACTAAAATGCTTCATGAGAATAAGTTCTTTGAGTATCAACATTGGTTCATAATTCCTACTATTCGCGGAAATATTTGGCCTGACTAGAATTGGCCGGTTTGGCTTTAACATAT